CAAGAATTAAAATGCAGTAATTCTGACCTGAATCAGTTGCTATGATACAATAACAATACTGGGAAGACAGCTTTGAATATGTAATCCATTGAGAACTTTGATGTTGCATGTCTGGGCTGGGAACATTTTATGCAGTGTTATGTAAGGACAGAAACTATGTTCTATTTCAGGATGCCCTCACTGACTCCTGAGACCTCCCCTATTCAGCATTTTTCCTGTGTGACTTACTAAGTTGAATTGCCCATATTACAATTTTTTTTCCAGTTTTATAGAAAAAGCACTCAAGGGAGGAAACGAGAGAGAGACAGAGAGAGAGAGAAATAGAATCTTAAGCAGACTCCCCACACTCTGCACGGAGCCCCACACAGGGTTCCCACGACCATAGGACCATGATCTGAGTGAAATCAAGAGTCAGACACTGAAATGAAGAGTCAGATATTCAGCTGGACTAAGCCACCCTGGTACCCTGCCCATGTTACAATTATATAAGTTTTTGATAAACAGGCTTAGAATGGAACTCTAGTGAAAAGCTCCCTCCTAATTTTATTTAGAAATCTATATGTGTAGTGTTTAAGAGTTTAAGAGTAGCCCACGATGTTAGGAAAAGTCATATTCAAATCTCTGTGCTTCGCTTCTACCTGTGTGACCTTGGATGAGTCTTAAACTCTGAGTCTGTGGTTTCTCACCTGGAAATGGAGATAATGACAGCTCCCTCACAGGGTTGTTACGATGAGCCAAATGAGATAACACATGAAAAGTGTTCATAGTGCCTGGAACACGAGTAGTCCTTCATCGAGGATGGCTGTTAGCTCTGACGAACTGCAATGTCTCCTGCATCTACAATGTTTCGGTTTTTTGTGTCAGAAAACTATCTGTTCACATTTGCTGGGACAAGGGTGGGTGTAAGCAGTGGACAGTGAACAGCCACGAATTTCTTGTCAATCCTATGAAGAGGAAAACTGTCAATAAAGAATGGAGTAGGACAGCTGAACAAGAATAAGCAATAGTCTAGGGGATGACAAAGGGTTCTAACAACTTGTCTAGTCATAAACCATTTCTACTCTTGACTGAGGCATGAAACACCTTTAGGATAGCAAAATAGTTCCATGGTTTAGAGTATGTGATTTTCATTCAAACCCCATTCTGCCACTTAATCTCCATTTCCTCAAACTCTTCCAAAGGAGTTTTTTTTTTCATATGTGAAAGCTAGATAATATAGAAGTTGAAAAAATGAGGCCAGAGTTAAGTGAGTTGGATTTGAGTCCTGACATTGTCATTAATAATATATGTAAAATATCAGACCGTTAATTAATTTTTCTTCTCCTTGGCTTCCTGATCTGTAAAATGTTAGTTATTATGAAGATTGAAGATTGGTTCACATGAGAACACTTTCAACAGTGCCTGGTAGAGAATAATCAGTCGACAAATGTTACCTGTTAATCATGAAACATGCATGATGATACCATCTCCTCAGGTTGTCGAGGGCATTTAAATTAGATACAGTATGTTAGATGACTGACAGAGATATTGTTGATACTTCAAGTTCTATTGCTATAGAAAAATTATAGTGTATAAAGAGGCCTGGGAATGTGATAGGATGAGAAGATTTAAGGAAACATAAATATCATCAGCACCAAATTAATGGATTTACTATTTTTTAATGGGATTATAAGAAAAAATTAGTGGAAGAAGTTATATTTGTGGTATATGAGATTTATATGAAGGAATGCTCTTATTTTTGCTCTGAAGTAGGGGAAACCAAGTGGAAATTGTCAACTCACACAATAAATAATAATAATAATAATAATGATAATGTGATAATGATGGGTTTTGGGAATGATGGTGAGGATAAGAGCTGATGTCCAAGAAAGAATTCTTGAAGACTTATTTGGTGCAAAAAAGGTGATTTTATTAAAGCACAGCGACAGGACTCATGGGCAGAAAGAGCTGCCCTGGGGTTGTGAAGAGTGGCTGATACTATGGGGCTGGGGGACATAAAATCAAGTGGAAGTTTCATAAAGGGGTTTTCCATATGCTAAAGACTCACGAGTTACTGAATGCGTAGCTATTGTCAAATGAAGTTTGTTTTTCCCTCTAGCAAAGTATTAACATTAAGACCAAAGAGTGCTCCTGGAGGAATGTTTTAGTTTTCCTGCCTCAAGTATTTGTCAATGGGCTGCAGGTTATAAGGAAATTAATTTTATCTGCCATTTCCTTCTGCCTTTCTTTCCTACATCACTATGGAGGGAGGCTGATATTGGGGCTCCAGGAAACCAAGTCTATAGGTTTCTGGAGATTAGGCTATTGATAAGATTTTTTTTCTTGTCATTTATTAAGATAGTTAAACTAATGGAGACTCTATCAGTTTAATCATTTGTTTTCTGTCCTTTCCTTTGTCCTTGGGCAGCCAGGAGTACCTGAGGAAAGTCATACATATCCCACCTAGGTAGGAGGGGAGGTAACGCTAGCTTGTGCTTGGCCCTCAGCTTGCATTATGGTCCCTCATCAATAATACCAATAACAATATTCCTGAAATACAGCTTCATGGAGTAAAATCTGAGAAAGTGTCCTTTCTTTATGGAGCTTATGTTCTAGTGGGAAAGGCAAATAGAAAAGAAGTAAACAGATTAATAACAAGAGGATACCAGAAAGTGATTATTTTACAAAGAAAATAAAATAAACAATATCATAAAAATGACCAGGATTGGAAATGTGGTAGATTGAAGGTCTGCTTTAAATTTGATTACAAAGGTCTGTATGAAAAAAATATATTTAAGTTGAGGCCTGTCTGGGAGTTAATCCCTCAAAAACTTGGGGAGGAGCTTTCCAGACAGAAGGTTAAGCTCATATGAGATTCTAATGTAGGAATGAGATTGCATTATGAAGAAACAGGAAAAGGGCTGACGGTAATAGAATATAAGTAAGAAGAAACTATAGTGCAAATTGACAGCTCTTGTAGGCCAGAGCTGAAAGTCTGGATCTAAGTCTAATGTGAGGTTTGATGGAAAACAATCAGAAGTTCTAAGTAGTTAGTTTAATTCATCTGATTTGTATTTTTAAAAGATATCTCAGACTACTGTGGAGAAAACTGATCAGCATGGGGTCAAAATGGAAGCCAGGAAGCTCATGAGGAGGCTAGAGCAGCAGTTCATATAAAAGATGGTTTGGTTCCGTTGGTAACAATGTACAGGTGGATATGTTGTAAAGAAAGAATTGACTGGACTTACTGGAAGATTAGGCAGAAAGGAGTCAGATCAGAATCATGGGTTTTTGGGGGCGCCTGGGTGGCTTAGTCGGTTAAGCGTCCGACTTCAGCTCAGGTCATGATCTCATGGTTCGTGGGTTCGAGCCCCGCATCGGGCTCTGTGCTGACTGCCAGCTCAGAGCCTGGAGCCTATTTCGGAGTCTGTATCTCCCTCTCTCTCTGACTCTCCCCTCCTCACGCTGTCTCTCTCTCTCCTAGAAATAAATAAAAATATTAAAAAAAAAAAAAAGAATCATGGGTTTTTGGCTTGAGAAATATATTTACTGAGATAGGCTCAGGATAGGTGGGACCAGTGGTAAAAGTACAGTTAGGGTGCAAGAGTTGATAGGTTCAAGGCTAAATAGCTGCACTGTGAATATTCCATGGTTTCGTTATTTACTTTTTATGTTTATTTATTTTTGAGAGGGGGAGGAGGAGAGGCAGACAAAGGGAGACACAGAATCCAAAGGAGGTTCCAGGCTCCAAGCTGTCAGCACAGAGCCCTTTGTGGGGCTCAAACTCCTGAACTTTGAGATCATGGCCTGAGCCAAAGTCAGAAGATTAATCAGCTGAGCCACCCAGGTGCCCCACTATGGTTTATTTTACCATTTTCCTTTTGGTGTACATTTAAGTTATTATTTTGTTTTATATAGAGCTATACAATTATCAAACTTCTATGTTTAGATTAGTGCATTTGATCTGTTATTTTATTGGCATAAAGAAGTTAAATTACGGTCTAAGATATGCATGTAAAATAGTTATGAACTCTGTTGCTCTTCAGAAAGGCTGTACCAGTGTTCATACTCTTCCAGTATTGTCAGTATCTTTCTTTTTAAGCCTTGTAAATCCAAACTGCATCCTATCTCAAGTCGTTAAATACACAGGACTCTCTCTGTCACCAGCTAATGCTAAATATTTGGGGAAGGAGCTGGGAAGAGGGTTATCAGAAAGAACAAAGAATCAAATAATAATAATAATAATAATAATAATAATAATAGCTAATCCTTATTGAGAGCTTATGATTGCTAGGAACCATTCTAAGCACTTTCTACATTTGTTAACTTACTTAACTTTAATTATTTAATTACGAGATAGCTACTACTATTATCCAGAATTTACATATGAATAAACAGAGGCAAGGAGAGATCAAGAAGCTTGTCCAACCTTCCACAATTAGTGGCAGGTGCAAATCCAGGCAATTTACTTCCAAAATCCATACATTAATCATTAAATTCCTTTGACAACCTATAAGACAGCGGATTGGTGAACATTTTGTTTATATAAAGACAACAACATGAGATAGAATATGGGGTTCAGATGTCACTCGGTAGTCAAGAAGAAACACCTGTGGCCTGAATAAATCACTACTGATTTAGTTAAAAGTTGGTTAAAGTATTCAAAGAAAATTTTTTCTACTTTCTGCATCTCTTCTCAGTGGCCAGAAAATTGTCATCCTCATCCCCATCACTGCCAACTACTGAGTGCCTACTATGTTGCAGGCCCTGAGTTATAAATAATATAAAAATTAGCAGCAGTCCTTATACTCCCATTGCCTTTTCACAGATGGAGCAGGTTAAGTGAAACCTGTAAGATCCCATAGGTATGAAGTTTTTCTGTCAATCTCGGTTTTTCTGTCTGGTACTAGCTTTAAAATCTTATTCTTTCTATAGTGACAAATGGAGGGACAAGAAGGGATATTGAAAAGCTAGATTGTCAAGGTCAAAGGACTCACATAGATTCCCCTCAATTCTAATAGGTAAGCCACAGACAAATTATGCGGCCTTTGAAAAGCAGAGATGAATAGGAAGATCTTGATTCTGAGGCTAAGAAGAGTCACTGGAAGATTTTTGTGAATCAAGTCACAAGGTAAGATTTAAAAATCAAGTCTATTTTTTACAGCAGTTTTAAGATCACAGCAAAATTAAGGGAAAGGTAAAGAGGTTTCCCGTGTACCTCTGCCAACTTCCACGTGCAGAGCCTACCCCACCCAGGTGGAATATTTGTTACACTTGATGAACAAAAGAAATATCATCAACTAAAGTCCACAGTTTACATTATGGTTCACTCTTTACATTGTGCATCCTATGAGTTTTTAGAAATGCATGATCATGGGGCGCCTGGGTGGCTCAGTCGGTTAGGCATCCGACTTTGGCTCAGGTCATGACCTCACGGTTCGTGGGTTCGAGCCCTGCATCGGGCTCTGTACTGACAGCTAGCTCAGAGCCTGGAGCCTGCTTCAGATTCTGTGTCTCCCTCTCTCTCTGACCCTCCCCTGCTCATGCTGTCTCTCTCTCTCTCAGAAATAAATATAAAAAAAAAAAAAGAAATGCATGATCATATGTATCCATCATTATGGTATCATACAAAGTATTTTCACTGCCATAAAAAATCTTCTGTGCTGTAATTACTCATCCCTAACACCTGGCAGCCACTGATGTTTTGACTGTACCCATATTTTTATCTTTTCCAGAATTTCATACAGTTGGAAGCTGGCAGTGCCTAGCCTTTTCAGATTGCCTACTTTCATTTAGTAATATGCATCTAAAGTTCCCCCATATCTATTCAAAGCTTAATAGCTAATTTCTTTTTAGACTGAATAATATTCCATATTCTGAATATACCACTTTATTTATCCATTCACCTACTTGATAGGGACATCTTGATAGCTTACAGATTTTGGTAATTAGGAGTAAAGCTGCTACAAATATCTATGTACATGTACATGTTTTCGTGTGGACGTAAGTTTTCAATTCTTTTAGGTAAATACAAAGGAGCTATATCACTGCATTGTATGGTAAAAGTTTAGTTTTGTAAGAAACTGCTAACCTGTCTTCCAAAGCAGCTGTAACATTCACACTCCCACCAGCAATGAATGACAGGTTTCATTGCTTATATCCTCACCAGCATTTGGTGTTGTCAGCCTGGATTCTGGCCCTTCTAATAGTTATGTTGTGGTATCTTTGTGTTTTAATTTACATTTTCCCGATAAAATATATGGAGCATCTTTTCATACGCTTATTTGTTATCTATTTATATTTTTTGGTGAGGTGTTTGTTAAGGTCTTGGGCCCACTTAAAAATAAAATCATTTCTTATTGTTGAATTTCAAGAGTTCTTTGTATATTTTGGATAACAGTTCTTTATCAGACATCTTTTGCAAATATCTCTCCTAGTCTGTGGCTTGTCTTCTCCTCTGTTGTCTTTTGCAGAACAGATGTTTTTAATTTAATGAACTCCAGCTTATCAATTCTTTCTTTCATGGATTATGCCATTGGTGCTCTATCTAAAGAGTAATCTCCATACCCAAAGTCATCTAGGTTTTCTCCTGTGTTATCTTCTAGGAGTTTTATATAAAGTTTTACATCATTTTACGTGTAGATCTGTGATCCACTGTGAGTTAATCTTTGTGAAGGGTGTAAAAGCTATGTTAAGATTTTTTTGCTTGTATATGTTCAGTTGTTTCAGCATCATTTATTTAAAAGATTATCTTTGCTTTATTGTATTCCAACTGCTCCTTTGTCAAAGATCCATTGCCTATATTTATGTCTTTATGTGGGTCTATTTCTGGGCTCCCTGTTCTGTTTCATTGATCTGTTTGTCCATTCTTTCACCAATACCACCTAGTCTTGATTACTGTAGCTTTGCAGTAAACTTAAGTCAGGTAGTATCACTCCTCCAGCTTGGTGTTTTGTTTTTGTCTTGTTTATTGTTTGCTTGTTTGTTTACTTTTACTCTTTCAACATTGTATTGGCTATTCTGGATCTTCTGCCTCTTCTTATATACTTTTGAATTAGCTTGTTAATACCCACAAATAACTTACTAGGATTTTGATTGGGATTGCATTGAATCTATAGATCAGGTTGGAAAAAGCTGACATCTTGATAATATTGAGTCTTCCTATTCATGAACATCAAATATCTCCTAATTTATTTAGTTTTTGGTTTTCATTCACCATAGTTTTGTAGCCTTTCTCATATAGGTCTTATACATATTTTGTTCTATTTAGAACCCTGTATTTCATTTCTCTGGGTGCTAATGTAAATGATGTTGTGTTTTAAATTTTAAATTCTACTTGTTTGTTGCTGGAATATAGAAAAGTGATTGACTTTTGCATACTAACCTTGTATCCTGCAACCCTGCCATAATCATTTATTGGTTCCAGGAATTTTTTTTGTCTATTTGCTTGTATTTTCTAGAGAAACAATCATATCATCTGTGAACAAAGACAATTTTGTTTTTCTTTTTAATCTATATGCCTTAACGTTTTGTGGAATGAATAATAGTTACCATTTATTGAGTACCTGCTAAAGCCTAGAAAATTTTAAACATTAGTTAATTAATCCTCTGGATAACTATAGAATAGTGTAATCTTAGCCAAGACTCAGAAATTTCAGTAATTTGGTGATAATAATGGATTCATAACCGAATAACCTGATCTAATTTTAAAGCCCATGTTCTTCACTTGCCTTGCTTCCCTGCTTGTCAAATGTTATACGAATGTAGATCAATAGTAGAATGCAGATCACTGTGCAAGATTTTAGGCTGTTGGAGGCATCAAACGTAATAATTAAGGTGAAAAGGCTTTACAATGTCTGGGACCAATATTAATGACAGAAGCTGTTTTGTGAAAACCAGAGAACGCATCATTGTAAATGTATTTAAAGTATTTAAAATTTTAAACCCTAGAGAACAACAACAAAAGTTTTCCTTATCAGCAAGTATTCACTATGTGTAGATACTCTATCAGGTGTTGTACTTATGAACATGGATAAGACTCTGTTAATTATGTGTCTTCTCTGTTAACTACCCACCTATGAAAACAAAGAGCATGTCATAATTTATCATAAAAATAATGCGTCAAATGGGTGATCGAGACAATATGTGTATGCTAGAAGAGGTCAGTGGAGGGAGGGCTCCCAGGTGGACAGGAAGTCTACTCTACTTCAGTTTTAAGGTAGTGGCCAGATCCCCTGTTGATGTCCTGCACCCATAATACCATTGCATCATAAAAATTGGAAAGAAAACAAAGAATCAACTAATCCTACTCCTTCACTTCACAGAGTGGAAACTGAGACTCTGAGAGGGCAATTTTCCTAAAATCTAGCTTTTTTGATGATTAAATTAGTACTCATTTCTAAATGTATCTGGCTTTCAGATCAGCACTTCTTTCCTTTCCTACAAGCAGTTTTTTCTTCTTTTTTCCTGTAGGCTTTGTGCCCAATGCAGAGCCCAATGCAGAGCCTACTGGTACCAATACCTGAACTGAGGTCAGGAGTCAGGTGCTTAACTGACTAAGCCACACAGGCACCCCTCTACAGGCAATTCCTAAGTTGAGAGACCACTGAAATAATGAGCTCTCATGTTTATGTCACTGTTTGTATCCTGGCAATTTGAGTTGAGTTGAGTTGTCTGCCTTAAATGCTTTTTAGAACAAGGCAGGGTGGAAATAAATTAGCAAGTGAGCAGAAACAGACATGAGTAGTCCTGGATAAAATGACACTCTTTAAATCTAAGGAAATCCTATATGATGAATCACCCTTCATGTATTTCACATTATAATTTGACCTTGGAGAGTTTGATGGATATTAAACACAGTGTGATTTAATTCTTTAAAAGAGGGTGGGTGGAATCTGGGATGAAAATTAGAAGAGAATAATCATCTTATTGAATATCTTTTATTTGCTGATTATTGATCTAGATTTCATTTAATTTGAATTTTCACATTGTTCTATAAGATCAATATCATTTTTGACATAGAAACTCCCTGTTAGTGAAGAGCAGGTGTTCATACACCTGGGAAGGGAAGGAGGCAGGTGTATGTTCTCTCCTCTGCAATGGTTTGCTTTATACAGTCTCTAGATTGGGTGCACTCCTAGGTTTCTGTATCTGAAAATGGAAGTGGAATTACCGTTCTCGCTTAACTCCCACATTGGAACAAAGATATGAAGGTATGGGCTAAAGACATAGAAGCATTTTGAAAAATATCATACTGTTATTTTCCGTAGGGGAGTGGGATAACAGCCTGTTGAAAATTTACATTTGGAAGGCACCACAGTGTCTACAGCCATACCACCCTGAATGCACCCGATCTCATCTGGAAGGCACCACAATAGCAAAGTGTCTGTGGCCACACATTTCTAGGTTTGAAGGCAATTTCTGCCACTATCTAGTTTTGTAATTTGGGGTAAGATTCTGAGCCTCAGTTTCTAATTTTAAAATGGAGATAATAATGCCTCATAGGTTTAGGGGAAACATTAAGTCAAATGACAGGTGGAAAAAATTACATTCATTAGTTCTCTAAGTTCCAGGGAGAAAAGGTTTTACCCAAACTACTTCTAGGAACAGGAATATATCGTGAGGATAACATGTCATAATAAGAAAAAAGGATCCCAGAAGGAAAATGTGGCATATACATACAATGGAATATTATTTCATCAAGAAGGAAATCCTGCCACATGCTACAACATAGATGAAACTTGAGGACATTATGCTGAGTGAAACAGGACAGTTACAGAGGGATAAACACTGCATGAGTCCACTGATATGAGGTATCTGAGGTAGTCAAATTCATAGAAACATAAAGTAGATTGATGAGTGCTAGGGGTTAGGGGGTGGGGAGAAACAAGGAGTAGTTCAGTTGTTTTAGTCATGCAAGATGAGATAGTCCTAGAGATCTGTACAACATTATGCTTGTAGCTAACAATACTGTAGTGTACGCTTAAAAATGTTTTAAGAAGGTAAATCTCATGTTATATAGTTTCTAGCACAATGAAGAAACAAAGAAGAAAAGGATCACAGAGGAACCCTGGAAAGGCTTTGGTTCAAGATCAAAAGCAGTTCAAATAAATGATCCAATAGGAAAAACTG